GTTTAGGGTTTAGGGTAGGGTTCTAGTAGTTTAGGGTTTAGGGTGCAGGGTTTAGAGCTTCGCGGCCTGGGTTGTTTGGCTGAGGGCAAAAGGGCCGGGGCACAAGTCGGTGTTTATTCTTGGGTCAGCTCCGAAGTCCCGAAAGCTCTAAACCCTCAACCCTAAATAAACCCTCAACACTAAAAGCCATACGTCCCCATGTTACGATGCCGAAAACCCTAAACCGACCACCCTTAGCCCTAAACCCTACATCCCAAACCTGAAACCCTAAACCCGAAGCCCTAAAGCCCTGAAGCCCTAAACCCTGAAGCCCTAAAACCCTAAAACCCTGAAGCCCTAAAACCCTGAAGCCCTAAAACCCTGAAGCCCTAAAGTCCTAAAGCCCTACAACTCTGAAGCCCTAAAGCCCTGAAGCCCTGAAGCCCTAAAGCCCTAAAGCCCTAAAACCCTAAAACCCCAAAAGCCCTAAAACCCTAAAGCCTAAAGCCCTAAAGCCCTAAAGCCCTAAACCCTAAACCCTAAACCCTAAACCCTAAACCCTAAGCCCTAAAGCCCTAAAGCCCTAAAACCATAAGACCCTGAAGCCCTAAAACCCCACAACCCTGAAGCCCTAAAGCCACACAACCCTGAAGCCCTAAAGCCCTAAACCCCTAAAGCCCTAAAGCCCTAAAGCCCTAAAGCCATAAGACCCAAAAGCCCTAAAACCCTAAACCCTAAACCCTAAACCCTAAACCCCTAAACCCTAAACCCTAAACCCTAAAGCCCTAAAGCCCTAAACCCCAAAACCCTAAAGCCCTCAAAGCATCGGCGACTTCAAGGCGCGGCTGCTCCAGCCGAAGTCCACAGCTTCGCTCTCCTCAAGGCAGCCTTGGGCGCCGAGGCAGGGTTTAGGGTTTAGGGTTTAAGGTTCAGGGTTTAGGGTTTAGGGTTTAGGGGGTTTAGGGTTTAGGGGGTGTGGCTAAGAAAAGGTACCTATAGTAGAATATACCGAACACTATGTCGGGGTTCCTGATTCGAGTTCTGGTATAATATACCTAAACATAGGGGCTATCATAAGTATAGTATAGTACTACACTCCAAAACTCTATTTTAATTGTTCAGGCTCCTTTTTAGCCCTTCTTTATGTATTAGCTCTCAACAGATCGGAGGGCTTGTGTTCGGGTCCAGAGGTGCAGTCTGTAGCGTTTAGGGTTCATGTTGCGTCTAGGAGGGAGTTTCCCAAAATTAGGGTACCTTATTTTGGGGTCCTTATAATAAGAGTCCTACTATTTAGGGTGCTATATTGGGGTCCCCTATTTTCGGAAACTCCCAGGAGTTCAGAAGGCAGGGTTGAGGGATCTTTAAAGGTTTAGTTGAGAGGGCAAAACGGCCCCGTCGTTGCTGCAGCCTAGCCGGATGTTCAATCTTCGACCGACGGGCCGTTTCTCACTCAAGCAAGCCCAGAGTGCCGGGAAATACCGAAAACTTTATCTCCCTTGTGTCAGCGCTCTTCAAAAGGCCATGATGTTCCGATGCCTCCTCGCGGCGGCTTTGATGCACCAGGCAGCGGCCGAGCTGCTGTGCGAACGCACGGGAGCTTGCACTCGCGACCGGGAGGAGGAGAACTCCATCCTGCTCCACACCCGCCTCCACAAGGTCGGACTATGCACTGTATATTTTTGTTTACTAGAGAGTATATAGTATATATTATGTATTTATTCTTGTTATTATATAATGTATGTCTTTATTGTATATATATATACACACACCTTGAAATGGCTGACAAGAATCCCTGAAGCCCCTGAGTCCACTCCCCAGAAGAAATTCGCCTAAACCCCCAAAGCCCAGAAGCCCTTCAGGGTTTAGGGTTTAGGGTTTGGGCTTTAGGGTTTAGGGTTTAGGCTTTAGGGTTTGGGGAACAACAGGCCAATGTGTCCAAGCACGTGATGAAGATGATGAACTTCGAGCGGCCACCGCAAGATTACACCTTCGACCAGTACGTCAAGGAGACTCTGTAGTTCGCATAGGTCTAAACCCCATCAGGCCCTTGCGCCCTTTGCAGCCCCTAACAAACCCTGACAGAAACCAAAAGCCTGTACTAATCCCGAAACCAGGAACCCTTATACGAGTCCTTAGAGGAGCTTGTTTGGGAACTCCTACAAAACCCGAAAACGGACCCTTACAAAAGCAGAAAGCCCTAATAAGACCCGCTATCGGGGTTCATACCCGGCCTTACAACCCTCAACCCTAAACCCTAAACCCTAAACCCTCAACCCTCAACCCTAAACCCTAAACCCTAAATCCTTAACCCTAAACCCTTAACCCTAAACGCTTAACCCTAAACCCTAAACCCGAAACCTCACAGCCTTGCAGGACTTCGGCAAGAAGTACGACCCCAAGTCCGGCGAGTATGCCGAGAGGGAGAAGGCGTTTAAGGAGGCTCTCGCGGCTGTTCCCTGGCCTCTTAGGGTTTATGGTTTAGGGTTTAGGGTTTACGGTTTAGGGTTTAGGGTTTAGGGTTTAGGGTTTAGGGTTTACGGTTTAGGGTTTGGGGTTTCTTGTTAAGGAGCCATAAGCCTTAAAACCCTCAGTGTAGTACCCATAGGAGCTTGGGGTTTGGTATGGTTTTGGGGCTTAGGGGTCGATTTTCTAGGCCGTTTATGGGTTCATAGGGATAAGTTGTTTTACTATACGGCTTCTTGTTGAGGAGCCCTGTTTCAGAAAAGCATCCTCCTTTGCACCATGTATCCTTAGTCGGATAGCTCAGACTTAGGTTCTTGCCCAGACCCAAAACCCCTGAACCCAAAACCCAAAACCCCAAAACCCAAAACCCAAAACCCAAAACCCCAAACCCTAAACCCTACTAAGCCGCCCAGGTTCAGGCCCACAACGCGGATGCCTCCAAGACCTACAAGGTCGGGGGGCTTTGGGTGGCTGCTCTTCCAGGGTTTTGGGTTCGGGGTTTAGGGTTAAGGGTTTGGGTTTAGAGTTTAGGGTTCAGGGGTTAGGGTTTTGGATTTAGGGTTAGGTGGTGTCAAAGCACGAAGCCCAAAGCCCAAAATTCCCGGAATCCTGCAATCCTCAGCGCCTAAATCCCGGCTTGAAGCCAGCCCTGAACCACAGAACCTCGGCGAAACCCGATGAAACATGATTGGGCATTGAAACCACGTAAGGCTTAGGAACCCTTGAAGGATCCCTTTAAGGCTGTTAAGGAACCCCTGGGCCCCTCCTCAACCCCCCCCTTCTTCCGGCGAGTTGTCAGGTTGCCATTAATGCCTACTCGGACTGGACGGTGGAGGAGAGCACCGTTTCTACGTTTTTTTCGTCTGTTTATGCAGGCTCATAAGGGTCTTATGAGAAGTATCTTATACAGGGCTTTATTATTGGGTTTGTTAGGTTTGGGTTTTTCTGATAGGGGCCTAAGATAGGCTGTTCTGCTGTATGTTCTAGAGTCTCGGAGTTTTTTGGGGTAGGCGAACTGAGTTGTGGCTTCAGAATTTTGGGCGACTAGGGTTTAGGGCTTAGGGTTTGGGGGATTCAGGCTTGAGGTTGTTAGCTGACAGTTCCGTGAGGCTCGATGGGCCCTGGATCTTTCCTGATCGGAATGCTGCTACCAAAAGGGGCCTTAAAAGTTACCTGTGCTATTTTGGGGACTCCCGAATTTTTATTATAGTATAATGGGCCTCAAAACCCTATTCTATTTTTTGAGGCCCCCTACATTACTTTCAGGAATCTTCCTTCTGATTTGCGGCATACCCCCGCTCCCCCCTTATCGCCTTCCACACGAAACCTGAAACCCTAAAGCCTCAAAGCCGCAACTAAACCTGATATCCTACACCCCTCGAGCAAGACCCCCTTAAACCAACCGCCCGAGGCCCCAAACCCTAAAAGCGCTGGACAAAAAGCCCTAGGTCTGAACTTGAAAACCCTAAAAACCCTAAACCCTAAACCCTAAAAACCCTAAAAACCCTAAACCCTAAACCCTAAACCCTAAGCCCAAAACCTTCGAACCTCGGATCTGATTTATAAGCATTTCCAAACCCAGCCCCTCTCTGAAGCCCGAAACCCTAAACCCGAAAACCGAAACCTCAAACCCTAAACCCTTAAACCTCAACTCAGCCCCAAAAACCCTAAAGCCCCAACTCAACCCCAAAACACCCTCAAACCCCAAACCCTAGAACCCTAAACCCTAAAACCCTAAAAACCCTAAAAACCCTAGAACCCTAGAACCCTAGAGCCCTAAACCCTAAACCCTAAAACCCTAAAAACCCTAAACCCTAGAACCCTAGAGCCCGAAACCCTAGAACCCTAGAACCCTAAAAACCCCAAACCCCCTAAACCCTAAACCCTAAACCCTAAACCCTAAACCCTAAACCCTAAAACCCGAAAACCCTAGAACCCTAAACCCTAAAAACCCTAAGACCCTAAGACCCCTGGACCGCGACGGAAGGAGCTGAAGTCCCTCCGCGGCCTGAAGAAGATGAAGCGCGAGGCTTCGGCCTTCAAGGTCAAGTCCTTGCCGCCTGGCTTGGGCCCTTTTTTGGTTTGGAGGGTTTAGAGGGTTTAGGGTTTAGGGTTTAGGGTTCAGAGGGTTTAGGGTTTAGGGCTTAGGGTTTAGAGGGTTTAGGGTTTATGGTTTAGGGTTTAGGGTTAGAGTTCAGGGTTTAGGGTTCAGGGTTAGAGTTTAGGGCTTAGGGCTTAGGGTCTGGGTTTGGTTGTAGGTTGGGGCTTAGGGTTTAGGGCCTAGGGTTGAGGATGGATGGGATGGATATAGGGTTGAGGGTTTAGGGCCAGTTTAGGGTTAATTTATTGGGCGTGCGGCTTAGGGCTTAAGGTGTTAGTAGGGTTTGTTTGATCTGTTCTTATCTAAGTTATCTCATGTAGGGGCCTTAATTGTTCTACACTATTCTGGGGGTTCCTTATAGTTAACAGATTGTACCCCAAAACCCTATTCTAACTATTAAGGCCCCTACATTATGTTGGGTATTTCTGCGGGTCCGCCAAGTTTGATTCCCCAGATCATCAGTAGGTTTAGGGTTTAGGGTTTGGGCCCTGTCCATTTCCTGGAATCTTCTTCTAGGGCTCAGGGTTTAGGCCCTGTCTATTTGCTGGAAGCTTCTTCTTCAGGGTTTAGGGTTTAGGCCCCGTCTATTTCCTGGAATCTTCTGCAGGGGATGGGCACTTGCGGATCCTAAAACACCCGAAGGCCCTAAAATTCTCCCCCCTCATGCCACTGCCTAAAGAAGCCCTAAAGCCCCCCAAATGAAGGTCCTACAGCCCCAAAGGCGTGGAGCTCCAAAATCCCGTAGAAACCCGGTGTACTAGACTCTAGTCCCTATAAACCCTAAATCCCAAAACCTAAACCCTAAACCCCAAACCCTAAACCCTAAACCCTAAATCCCAAAACCTAAACTCGAAACCCTGTATACACCAAAATCCCCCTCAGCCCAGGCACCTCAGCAAGGACGAGGAGTACCCACAGAAGGTGGACTGGCGCGAGGCGTCCCGGAACTCATCGAGTCCAAAACCCTGGGGGGCAGGGTTTCAGGTGAAGGTTTAATATAGGGGCTTGAATAATTACCTATACTATCAGGGAGGTATTATTGGAACTTTAGTTGTATAATGGGCCCCAAAACCATATTACAATTATGCAGGCCCCTACAATAGGTTTTTTGGGCTTTAGCTTTAGGCATTTAGTGGTTAGAGTTTCGGGTTTGAGGGGCTTGTGGTCTTAGGTCTGAAAGCCGCAGCTAAACACTCCGAAGCAACCCAGTTCAGGGTTTGGGGTTTAGCACCCTACCAAGGGCCCTAAACTGTTTAGGGTTCAGAGTTTAGGGTTTCTGTAAACCCTTAGCCGCCCGAAGCCCTAAACCCCTAAGCCTAAGCCAACCGCTGTCTGCGTCAGTCCTTCCCGACCGTCGTGACGCCGGCCAAGAATCAGGGCCACTGCGGATCTTGCTGGGCCTTTGCCACGACGCCAGAGCCGAATTTAAATGGGCTTGGGCTTTAGGGTTTAGGGACGGGGGGACGGGATAATTACTAACAGTACTCTCTTGTGGTCCCTGGTATAGTGCTGTTATTATACACCCCAAGACCTTTCTCCCACATATCAAGGCCCTGATCTTACATTGGTTTAGCTGGGCTTTGGGTTTCAGGGAAGCCTACACCCTAAACCCTAAACCCTGGGCCCTAAGCCCTAAACCTCAAACCCTAAACCCGAAACCCAAAGCCCTAAGCCCTAAACCCTGGATCTTTGAGTTGCTCTGTGCTCCTTGGTTTCACTGGTAAGGTTTAGGTATTAGGGTTGAGGGTTTAGGGTTTGGGGTTCAGTGTCTAGGGTTTAGGGTTGAGGCATTAGGGTTGAGGGTTTGGGGTTCAGGGTTTAAGGGGTAAGTGGTTTAGGGTTTAGGACTTAGGACGTGTGACCCTGCATACAGTCATGTGGGCATGTGACCTGTAGAACATGGAGCTTCCTAAACTAGGGGGTCCAATTTTGTGGGGTACCCCGAGTCAGAACCTTCCTATCTGCGTCTCTGAGAGTCCTTCTTCCCTCAGCCCTAAACCCTGAGACCTGTGGCCTTTTGCTGGGGATGCCGGAAATAGGCACTTATTATGATTTTACTGTCAAGGGGCCCAAAACCCCATTCTAATTATTGAGGCCCCCCCTATATTGCGCTCTAAGGCCTCATCTGCGAGACCACCCTAAACCCTAAACCCTAAACCCTAAACCCTTAAACCCTTAAAACCCCTAGACCAGACGTCTGAGTCTTAGGACGGGTGTGGTGGAGAGCCACGCAGCCATCCACTCCGGAGTCTTGACGGTGCTCTCCTCAGGTTTTAGGGTTCAGGGGTTTAGGGTTTAGGGTTTAGGGTCTAGGGTCTAGGGTTTACGGTTTAGGGGTTTAGGGTTTAGGGTCTAGGTTTTAGGGTTTAGGGTTCAGGTTTTAGGGTTCAGGCTTCAGGGTTTACTGCTGGGCTTCAGCATCGCACAAGTAAATCTAATGTAGGGGCCTTAATAATTACCAATACTATTTTGGGGGTTCCTTATTATAATTATACTATAAAGGACTTCAAAACCCTCTTCTAATTCTTATGGCCTTCGCCTAGGCTTTCCCGTCGAATTGGCTCAAAATCAAAACGCCCCTGAATCATCCTAAGCGTCCCGGTGCAAGACTGGCAAGCCACAACCTCTCCCCATGATATTTCGGGGGTTCCTGATTATAATTAGAGTATAGTATATCCCCAAAAACCCTATTCTAATGATTAAGAGCCCTGCATTACATCCGGACTCCTAAGCTCTCCAGCCACTTCGCAGCAACCCTGAGTTCTTTCCTGCCAAAGCCCTTACGAAACCGGTAAGCACCAGCCTTCGAACTAGACCCTTAGGGGTTAGGGTTTAGGGTTTAGGGTTTAGGGTAAGCAGCCTTCGAATTAAACTAAACCCTTAAGCCCTGAACCCTCACAAGACCCTTGAGCCCTAGCCTTAAAGTCTTACTAAGACTCTTACAGCCTTAAGGCTTTGTGCGAGTCCTGTGTCTCCAGCAGCCTGCATCCACCCTAGACCCTTAAATTTGTTCATCCAAAACATATGAAACCTTGCGCTCTGCCGGTCCTACCCGTAACCACCTTTAACCCCAAACACTAACCCTGGAAACCTGAAGCCCTGGCAGGTCCTACCCTAAACCCTAACCCCTAAACCCTAACCCTCGAATCATGTGGGTAGTTGTCAAAAGTATGGTCCCTTTTGGGGTACCCTAAATAATAGGTGCCGTATTATAATAAGGACCCACAAAGGGACCATAATTTTGACAACCACCCATGTGTCCTGCAGGTTCAGGTCCTACCCTAAACCCCTCCACCCCATAAGCCATGAAACTTTCTTCGTCCTGCAACCCTAAACCCTAAACCCTAAACCCTAAACCCTAAACCCTAAACCCTAAACCCTAAGCCCTAACTGCAGGTCCTGTCCCCCCAGCAGCTGGTCTCCTGTGCCGAGAACCCGGAGCACTGCGGCGGCACCGGCGGCTGCGATGGCTCCACCTCCGAGCTCGCCATGGACTACATCAAGCAGAATCTGGGGCTCAAGAAGATTTTTATAAGGATGGGGTTTAGGGTTTAGGGTTTAGGGTTTTATAAGGATGTTCGTTCTAGGGCGTCTAGTAGTTAGGTTGTTAAGATTTTGTGTTTAATTGGAGTTGAGGGTTCAGGAGGTTATGTGCCACGTTATGTTTTGCAGCATTTGCTGCCAGGCCGCTTGTTCTTGCTTGTTCTTGCTTTACTTACTCTGATGGCCGGCATGCGGAAGTCGAGTTGCTAACTTTGGTGACTTTCGAATGTATATCAGGCATGGCATGACCTACGAGGATGTGATCCCGTACGAGTCCTTCTTCGGCGATAAAGTCGAGTGCAGCACGGAGGGGCTGCAGAAAGCATGCATGCACGAATTCAAACCTCAATTGCGGATCCTGGAGCCTACTAAACCTTACGGGCCAAGCCCGAGGTTCGTTTGCAAAATCTCCTAGAGGCTTACGTTGTCCCCCTGGCCCCCTGCCCTACGGGTTCTTTTGCGGTCGGGGCTGGTGGCTTGCCATTAGTTGTCAAGGCTCGAGAACCCATGCTCCAGCGCTGGGTTTCGGGGTTTAGGGTTTAGTGTCGAGGGTTTTAGGGTTTAGGGCTTAGGGTTGAGGGGTTTAGGGTTTAGGGTTCGGGGTTTAGGGTTTAAGGGTTTAGGGCACCTCAAAAGTGGCTAGAAGGACTCGAAGCCGAGCAGCCCGAAATCCAACGCAGCTTGGACAGGTGTTCCACCCTGGTGATGATCTTGGTAACCTCAAAGCGCTGCACCACAAAACATCGAGACCCGAGCTTCAATGCTAACTCCGCAGCTACCTAAAGCCTGGAAGCCGACAGCCCCAAACCCTACACTCCACTGCTGTCCACCCTGAACCCTGAACCCTAAACCCAAACCCTAAACCCTACATCCTAAGCGCCCGGCCCTATGAATTTAAGCCCAAGCCCTTTTCAGGGCTCCCCTGCTTCAGGAGATGCAGTTCCATGCCGCCGCCTATAAGATGATCACCATCACCGGCTGGGTGAAGACGGAGACGAATCTGCTGTCGGAGCCTGGAGCTGCCTTTTTTTTTTTTTTTTTTTTNNTTTTTTTTTGGGGGGGGGGGTCTTCTAAGGGTTCAATGAGGAACAAGGGTTCTGTAAGGGTTCTATATGCGGGTTCTATGGGACTGTGAGGTCGGGTTCAGGCAGCCAGCTATGGTTTTTGCTCTCCGTGCTCAGTGATGAGACATTTTTACCGGAGAAGTGTTGCATCAAGATGACAAAGAGGCTTATACTTAGGCCTCATCCCCTCATGCCGATTCCTGCATCCCTGTCCCTAAACCCGATGCTGCTGCTCTGTGCATGCATAACAGCACAGAAGCTTGCAATCTAGAGTTTCGGGATTAGGATGTGAAATGGCCCAAACTTCAGACCCAGCAACGGTAAAGGCCACGCTGTCATGCGTGCGGCCGTGCTCCCTAAACCCAGCCACCGACACCCAGAGAACAAGAAGACATAGTCAAATATCGCAGCAGCTATATGCAAATACAGACGCTACTCGTACTTTACTGCAGTATGTACTCATGAGGCCCTAAACCCCCACCGTAAACCCTGAACCTCAAACACCCATGGCCCGAATGTCTCGTAACACCAGTAAGCCCAAACCCTGGACAATTCTTGCAAACAACGGACAAAATCCCTTTGTTACATGACCTTCGAAAGACCAATCATTAGCACGTCCTGTGCCAGAGCTGACGAAAGCCTTATCGCCAGTAGCCTGCCGATGTCATGCGCACGACTGTGAACTACCTTAGGACCGCTTACTTAGAGCACAGTCTACTATACCTATTGACATGATTCAGGCCCCTATATGAGATCCTATACTGAACAATTATAGTACCCCCTATTGTAGCCCTTACCGAACCCTTTCATGAAAAGGGCGCTGTCTACCCCAACGTTCGAACCCCGAAATTCAAAGAGCCCTCTTTTCCCTAAACCCTAAAGGAGCCCTAAACNNCCCCTAAACCCCTAACCCTAAACCTGTTTGCCCCAGGATGTCATGCACGCGATTGTCAACTACGGCCCGCTCGCCATCTCGGTGGATGCCTCGGGCTGGAGCCCCTACAGCTCCGGCATCGCCAACCCTTGCAACTGGGCGAGCTTTAGGGTTTAGGGTTTCGGGCTTAGGCTTCAGGGTTTAGGGCGTAGGGTTTAGGGTTTAGGGCAAAAAGTAGATCCCTAAACGGGGTTCCTTAAAAGTAGTATCCTTTAGCAGTTAGGGTCCCAAATTAGGCTCTTCGAGCTTCGGGTTTAGGGCTTGGGGTTTTTGGTTTGGTGTGTAGGGTTTAGGGTTTAGGGCTTCGGGTTTAGGGCTTTGGGGTTTTTGGTTTTGGTTCTGGGTTTAGGGTTTCGGGCTTTGGGTTCGTGTAGGGTTTAGGGTTCAGGGTTTTGGGTATGGTTCAGGGTTTAGGGTTTTGGGTTCGGGTTTAGGGTTTCAAAAAACGCACAATTGAAAGCGCGAATAGGCTTTCCGAAGTATAATTCCAGAATCACGCCCTGCTTTTTGCAGCTTTTTGCATTGCCGCAGTTCTCGAAACGCCTATGCTCCGCCCGCTATAGACAGCAAGCCCTATACGCTAAACCCTAAACCCTAAACCTGAAACCCTTGAAGCTCGAAGCCCCAAAACCGTAGACCCTAAACCCTAAACCCCCTTCTGCAGTGCGGCCCCTCATAGAGCCTTACTATAGATCTCTTATAGAACCCTTTAAGGATCCCTTTAAAGGAACCCCTGTTCTAATCGGTCAGGCCCCTGTGTTAGCTTAGGTCTGTTCCATCCATCCGAACTCCAGAGACTCCTCAACCTTGATAAATGGATCAGGGGTTCCTTTGAACGGATCCTTACAGGGTTCTATAAGAGATCCATAGTAGGGCTCTATAGTAGGGGCGTTTGTAATTAGAATAGGTTTTGGGGTAAAGTATATTATGTTAGAATTGTCGGAGACGCATAATATAGGGGCTTAAATAATTACCACTACTATTTAGGGGATTCCTTATTATAAGTATAGTACAATGGGCCCCCAAACCCTATTCTGATCAAAAAGGCCCCTGTATTACATATTTCATACTCGTAACCTTCAGCTATAGCGAGCTTCTTTTTGGTTCGAGGAAAGTGACTCGGGTCTTGGTCGTTTGGGAGTTTGGGGCTTAGCCGCATCAGGTACGGCTTGACGAGTCATGGACTACTCTGGGATCCCCATACATGCTTCTATGGCCATCATCGTGTACCTTCGGGCTCTTGTTAAGCCCTGTAAAGCTTGTTACAAGCCTTGGAGGTGCTATAAAACCACAGTCGAATCTACGGCCTCGGAATTCCCAAGCACCACAGCCGAGGCGACATCACGAAGAACGTCGACATCGATGCTCGGCCTTTGCTGGATGCAGCCGTTTAGGCTCTTTTCACGGATTTTACCTTCAACACCCCTCAAACACAAAACCCTAAATGCCTACAGCTCGAAAACCCACAGGTGAATCCCGCCACCCAAACACAACAACGTCCAGGACCTCCTAAAACCCTGAACCACTAAGCCTAAACCTATATCACCCTAAACCCTTTCCCTCTCGCGCTGGTCTCTGCCGCTAGTCGCAGGCATTGGGCCATTCACTCAGAGGGAAAACTGTTTGCGAGTTTGCGGTCAGGGGGGTGGCAGACTGTTTGCCATCGGTGGAGGCGGCCCCTTGGCACCGCCAGGCGTGAACCGAGTGATGAGCGTGTCGCGCCCTCGGGGTTGGATGAGCTGCTCTGGTGCCCAGTACTCGCGGAGGGATCCAACGGGAAGAGCACTAGCCAGGTTTGGCAGCAGCCACCAACCCGCGCCCTGTCGGGGACGCTCCAGACCTGGCCCAGTACCGTCGCAAGCGATTGCGCCGGGAAGAGCTGTTTGAGCTGGCAGA